GCACATTTTGCTTCTGTCACTTCAATGACATAGACAGTAAGAAAGGATTGTACCAGGCATACATATACATCACACCACGGAAGCAACAAACAGATGGGACTGCATAACTCATCTGCCTCAAACAAGAGAGTACAAGTATTAGGAAAGGAAGCTAACTGAATAATTGTAGAATATTGAATCTTTTAGCCAACTAAGTATATCAGATTTTCATAACACACCATGAACACAGTTCACTCTACACTATTAGAACAATGAGTTTCTGAAGCAGAAAAGAATCTTACTAGGGACCCTTCTTGTCAATTGCTACATATACAGTCAAAATGGGTAGAGCGTATTTTGTTACTTAGCTACATCAGTTTGATGCCTGTGGTGCACAAACACATTAGCAGGTCAAGAGAAGAGAGGTTTTGGCACCTGCTTTACAAGGTCAAGTAGAGGCCCATTGTAACTTTCTTACAGTGTTTTAATAGTTTACCCAACCTAGTTTTTAAATATCACAGTGATAATCACAACAGGAGTTCATTAGCAAGAAAAGAGAGAATCCAGCTAAAGCAATTCCAGCAATGATATTTGCAGTAATTCTGGCTGCAATCCTAAATTCATTTACCTGAAAAAAAATCCTCAGAGAACAGAATGAAACTTTCTTCAGAGTAAACACATAACTTAGGAAACATCACTCCACCCCAAAAATGAATAGAATGTGTGACAAAGGCAATTATGCTCATTTTCCTCTTCCAGTTTAGCATCTGGAACCAAGTTAGATACATGCATATAACTGTTTTTCTACTGGGCTACAAAGCTATTCCCCTTCATGGATCACTGCCTTGTCGTGGCGAAGGGGCTTGCATAGCTCAATGAAGCTATGAGCTATGCCATGCAGGGCCACCCAAGACGGACAGGTCATAGCAGAGAGTTCTGACAAAAAGTGATCCACTGAAGAAGGAAATGGCAACCCGCTCCAGTATCTTTGCCATGAAAACCCCATGTACAGTACCAAAAGGCAAAAAGATAAGACACCGGAAGATGAGCCCCTCAGGTCGGAAGGTGTCCAATATGCTACTGGGGAAGAGCAGAGGGCTAATACTTGTAGAGCCAGAAAGAATGAAGCAACTGGGTCAAAGCCAAAAGGACACACAGTTGCGGATGTATTTGGTGGTGAAAGGAAAGTCCGATGCTGTAAAGATCTATACTCCACAGGAACCTGGAATGTAAGATCTATGAATCAAGGCAAGCTGGACGTGGTCAAACAAGAGATGACAAGACTGAACATCGACATCTTAGGAATCAGTGAACTAAAATGGCCAGGAATGGGTGAATTTAATTCAGATGACCATCAGGTATACTACTGCGGGCAAGAATCCCTCAGAAGAAATGGAGTAGCCTTCATAGTCAATAAAAGAGTAGGAAAAGCAGTACTGGGATACTATCTCCAAAATGACAGAATGATCTCAGTTCAAATCCAAGGCAAACCATTCAACATCACAGTAGTCCAAGTCTGTGCCCCAACCACTGGTGCTGAAGAGGCTGAAGTTGACCGGTTCTATGAAGGCCTACAACACCTTCTAGTCACCAAAAAATGATGTCCTTATCATCATGGGGGATTGGAATGCTAAAGTGGGAAGCCAAAAGATAACTGGAATAACAGGCAAGTTTGGCTTGGAGTACGAAATGAAGCAGGGCACAGGCTGGTAGAATTTTGTCAAGAGAATACAATGGTCATAGCAAACACTCTTTTCCAACAATCCAAGAGATGACTCTACACATGGACATCACCAGACGGTCAACCCAGAAATTAAACTGACTATGTGCTCTGCAGCCAAAGATGGAGAAGCTCTATACACTCAGTAAAAACTAGACCAGGAGCTGACTGTGGCTCAGATCATGAGCTTCTTGTTGCAAAATTTAGGCTTAAATTGAAGAAAGTAGGGAAAAGCACTAGGCCACTCAGGTATGACCTAAATCATATCCCTGATGAATATACAGTAGAGAAGACAAATAGATTTAAGGAATTAGATCTGATAGACAGAGTGCCTGAAGAACTATAGACAGAGGTTCGCAACATTGTACAAGAGGTAGCACCTAAAACCATCCCAAAGAAAAAGAAATGCAAGAAAGCAAAATGGCTGTCTGAGGAAGCTTTACAAATAGCTAAGGAAAGAAGGGAAGCAAAAGGCAAGGGAGAAAGAAAAAGATACACCCAATTGAATGCAGAATTCCAGAGAATAGCTAGAAGATATAAGAATGCCTTCTTAAATGAAAAGTGCAGAGAAATAGAAGAAAACAATAGAATAGGGAGAAAAGAAAATTGGGAGAAATGAAGGGAAAGTTTCATGCAAAGATGGGCATGATAAAAGACCAAAATGGCAGGAACCTAACAGAGGCAGAAGAGATTAAGAAAAGATGGCAAGATTACACAGAAGAACTATAAAAGAAAGAGCTTAACATCCCTGATAACCACGATCGAGTGGTCACTAACCTTGAGCCAGACATCCCGGAATGTGAAGTCAAATGGGCCTTAGGAAGTCTGAGCAACAACAAAGTTACTGGAGGAGACAGTATTCCAGCTGAGCTATTCAAAATCTTAAAAGACGATGCAGTAAAAGTGCTACACTCAATATGCCAGCTAATTTGGAAAACTCAACAGTGGCCACAGCATTGAAAAAGGTCAGTTTACATTCCAGTCCCAAAGAAGGGCAATGCCAAAGAATTTTCAAACTACCGCACCACTGCACTCATTTCACATGCTAGCAAAGTTATGCTCAAAATCCTATATATGGCTGTGATAGTTGGGCCATAAGGAAGGCTGAGTGCAGAAGAATTGAGGCCTTTGAATACTTTGGTCACCTAATGAGAAGGAAGAACTCGCTGGAGAAGAGCCTAATTGAAGGCAAAAGAAGAAGGGGAAGGCAGAAATTGAGGTGGCTAGATGGAATCACAGAAGTAGTTGGCGTGAGCCTAAATGGACTCTGGGGGATGGCGGAGGACAGGAAGGCCTGGAGAAATGTTGTCCATGGGGTTGCGATGGCCCGACATGACTTCGTGACTAACAACAACAGCAACAATGCTATTTGATGCAGAAACAATAAAAATGGAAACTGAAAAGTGGAAATATTCTTCACAGCTGGACAGATTGTAAAGCTGTGACAATCTAGTTATGTGTTTATTAGACTGTCTGTAGTCGAGGCATATGAATAAGAAAAAAGAAAGAAAACCAACTTCTGACATAATTAAACAAATATATCATCACACATATGCCAGTCAGCTACATGGTTTTCCACATAAAGGTGTCTTACAGTACATTTGTATGCATAGTCTAACCAGAAAATGTTTTAGAGTTTAACTATGCTTACTCTAGAGTAAGTGGGTATGGGATTGCCACCCAAAATACCAAAACTTGGGAATAATTCCCTCTGATGAATGTGGGGCTCATTTGTGAGTAATTTTCCAAGCATTGCACTGTTAATCTTTCTTCTGCAAGGCAAAAATCCTTACAACAGCTTTATAAAGAAAAAGCTAGGTGCTTATTCATGCATAGGCACATACATAGGTACATATGTTACCTATGGGGAAACACACACTTAGGGGAAAACACTGAGCACCAGGCTGGGTTAGGTAGTAACAATCCCGAGAAGCTTTCAGATAATATTTACAGCAAGAGCACAAACAGCTGTACACATTTTCCAAGCATTTTTAAAAGTCTTACATAAACACATAATAGAAATATTTTACCGTTCATTTTCAACTACCCTTACAATGTGACTAAACAAGAACAGCTATTTTAGGAGAATGATGTAAGCCTTAGAATAATCTATCTCTAGTTCATTTTTCTCAGATTCTAGAACAGCATTCTACAACCTGGTGTCTTCCAGATGTATTTGACTACAGTTTCCCTAATTCCCCAGTCAGCATATAGGAACTGCAGTCTAACCATCAGGAGGATACCAGGTCTGGAAGGCTGCTCTAGAAAAACTCACTGCATTCAGGCCTCCTGCTCCTGTAACAAATAGCCATGTGAAGAAATGCTCCTATAATTCCACATATTTACTCCCCCTCCACCTCATGAATGCTCTCCATCAGATGTACTTTCTGTACAAAGATCAACCTTCTCCAAGCTGAGATTCTCCAGTTGTGTTGGAGTACAATTCCCAACGTTTGCAGCCAAGCTGTCTTAGATGAATTTGAGATTGTTAGAATTAGTTGTCTCTAATTCTTCAAAATTTTAATAGCATACATTTCAAAATTATTCCTCCAAAAGTTCTCTACACACTAAAAAGCAAATCCAAATGGACATGAACAGTTCTGGACACATTTCTATAAAAGGATATGGTGATCCAAAATATCAACAAAAGATATTGCTACAAAGAGATATTGTGATCCAAATTCAAAATACATGAAGTATCTTGGTGGGGGGTGAAGGCAGGGTAATAGTAAAGACTGGAAAAATGAGTTCAAAGAGATTCTTAAGAAGATGAACGTATGTCTGCAGAGACCTCATTCCCAATGCTTTCCGATCAAACGTTAAGTCCATGCGTTAAAGGTGGAAGAACGGAGATAACAGAGCTCTGTCGCAAAGGGACTGCGACATGTAGCCCTTCTCCTTTCCCTCTTCTCGCAAACTCGAATCTCCCAACGAGAAATTGGGTGCTTGATTAGAAACCCGACTTCGGGGAAAGGGAGCCCAGAGGTCATCCAGTTCGACCATCGGCTATACAGCACTACCACCCTACCCCCGCTCTCCTCAGCGCAGTGGCCACTAAACGTCCAGCGAGGGAAGAGAGGCATTTGGAGGAAAGGAAAATCCAGATTCCGATTCGGTTCTGTCCGAGCGGAAATACTTGTAATAGCCGGCGGCGGGGTGTGGGGAGAGATGGAAGGTGAGGCCGACGGGTATTTCCCGCTCCCCGACGACTCGCGAGCCACCCCCACCCAACGCAAGCCCGAGTCGCCGCTTCTTCCCCGCGCTAGCCCCTTCCTCTCCTCCCGGCGACCCGGCCCCTCACCAGGCGGAGCTGGCTTGTCTCGTCGTAGGACAGGAAGCTGAGGATGCTCTCGATGGCCACAATGGGCAGCCCCACCAGCGTGTTGCTCTGCGGGAGCTGCTCCAGGGTTTGCGCATCCCCCCGAGGCTGGGGCAGAGGCGGAGGCGAGAGCAGCGAGGAGTCCATGGCGCCTCCTTCCCCCTCCGTCAGGATACGCTCAGCCGCCGCCGCCGCCGCCGCCATCTTGGGGCCTTTCCCCTTCCTCGGCTCCGGGAGGGGGCACTTCCTGCGGCGGCGTTCCCGCCTCCTTCTCTGGCTGGACCCTTAAAGAGACAGCCGCTCCTCGGTGAGGGTCTCCGCCGCTCGCCCTTCCTCACTTTCCCCCGAGGGGGCTCGGAGGAGGTCTGTTCGGTGTACTCCTTGCTTGGAAGCCCCAGTCACGCACACTGCAGTCTCGATCCAGACACATTTGAATTGGTTGTGGTTACTTAGGAACTTGTTTACAAATGCTTGCGTGTCACTGCTTGATTGAACACTTGGATTGGTGTGAACTGGCTCCCTACCGTCTTGATCAATACTATGTGAAAACCCTCACTCAGCGTTATTTATTTATTTGATTTCTAACCCGCCCCATTAGCCACACGGCTCTCTTGAGCATGTTTTGTGGATGTAGGTTGTTGCATTGTGTGAATGCAGCCCTGCAAACAAACCATGGTATGTTAGCCACAGGGCGCCCACAGTGTACACCCAAGCAATGAAGAAGGAGCTCTTTTTTTTTGTGTTTGTGGTTAATATCCTGTAGTTTGTTAAAGTGGTTGGATTCCCGTGACAACACCCCAAGGTTCAGCGACGGGTTCAACATCAGCCCATACTCATTCATGAGGGTTATCCTGTTGTATGAATGCAGCCACTTAAAAACATTGGTATGAGGTGATACAAACTTTCCAAAATATACAAAATATTCCAGCAGTGGAATATTTGTAGTTGCCCAGTCACATGAGCAAGTAATCATGTAGCAGGCACCAAGTGAAGAATATGCATGCATCAGATCTTCATAGTGAAGGAAAAACATTTGATATGTGCTTGAAAACTAATGACATGTCTCAGGGCTAAGTTTCAGTATTTGGAACAAATTCTTATGCTATGGTGCCCATTATTAATTGATTTACTCGGGACATTTTTACCCTGTATTATACAAACAACTCAGGACAATATGCTGGCAGCATACAAAATGTAACTATCTAATAAAACCAATATTAAACCCACCATCAATGCTTAAAGCACCAATGTGCCCAGAGAAATCTCTCTTGGCACCTTCAGAGCTCCTTGCCTTGCCTGATTTTTATTTCATTAATGTAATTTTAATTAAAACAGGAAACAATAGGAGGCTGGTATGCTGCAAAGCAATGAGCTGCCCTCTACCTTCATTTTTACTTGGTTTCGAAAGAGTGATTTTGTGTTTTAAAGCTCAGGTGTCACCTCCATCTTATTGCTCACTTAGGTTTCTAAGTAAGTTACTTTCCTTTTGGTTTTTCCAATTTGTCTTCTGAGAATAAAGACTTTATGACCACCCATGTACACCAGGGCAGCCTTTTTACAAATTTGCAATCTATGGCCACATGGCAGCCATTCTGCAGAACACTCATGACTCTCAGAATTACATCTGCCTATCAGGAGGGCTAGAGAGCCTGGTGGGAGGCAAGAGAAGTGTCCACAGGCACTCAGGTGGCCAGAAGCAGCACACCGGAGACCCCAGACCTAACATTTGAGGTAAAAGCATATGAATGTTGCAAATGGACACTAATGTAAGTAATACTCATATCAGCTGCAAATAATTACAATTCCCTGACATTGGTACCTGTTTGGTGTGAACCAGTCCTGAGCTCATGTCTGCCTAGGTTATCATTCTTAACAGCTACTCCCTACAAGCCATATTCAAGGATTCACACTGACCAATCAATCGAGAAAAGTCAAGTTTAACTTGACTGTGTTTGTTTTCCGGATTGTAGTCTAAATTATGTGGTTCTGCAATGACTGAGCTCTCTGATACCTCACAGTTCAATCATTCCTAGGATGGAAAGGTAAGTGATAGACACTAGTGAGGGGCTGAACTACATTAATGTAATATTTCTAAGTATAGGCTAAAGTATCATTTAGGCTGGTTGATGTGTGGTATTTACATGTCAACAGAATTAAAGTACGTCATCCTGTTAAGATGCCAAAAAGATGTAATTAACATATTGCCTATTAATATCAGGCAGTTTATAGGGTTTGGACTTTACCTATGGGTATTTCTGCTTGCTTTGGCCAAGGTAACAGAACTCTGTCCTGCTGCTCTGCAGTTCTTATAGCCTCTTCTAGTAAGTCTGACTAGCAGGGTGCTAAGTACTTCAAATAGAAAATAGACTTAGTTTGAATCTGGTGAGATCCACAGCTTGTCTTTTTTCATGGAAAGCGTTTTTGTTGGAAGAGGGAGGCAATCATTTTATATCCAAAGCCAGCTCTGTCTTGTCAACAGCTTGTGGCTCACTATATTTTTAGCAAGTTTAAAAATTAGGGTAACATTTTAATGCAAGTTTAGACAGAAAAAGGCCTACAGCTATGTTGGCAGGGGCATACTGCAGACAGTAGCCCCTTTTCTGTCTAAACTTGCACAGGATTGCACTCTAAGTCTGTCAAATTGATGCTGGTTTCAAGTCTGTATGACCACTGAGCTGCTCATAGTGATAGGATAGAATGCTCTTACAGAAGTTTCTCTTATAATCTTTGCTGTTCTTAGTAAATTTATGGCATTTTATGTTGTTTGTATTTTGAAATCTAAGATTCCTTGGGTATCTGACTGAAGGAACAAGTATCAATTACTATAATAAATAACATTGGGGTACTCATGAATATCTACAATGAGGTGATACTTAAAAATTAACATTGTCTACAATTGTTCAGCTGTCTACAACTGAATTTACCCTTTAGGGATTTGGTTTTTTCCCTATTCAGAATCATATGACCACTTTGATTTTGTTATGGCCACTGTTAATAACTTAAACCAGAAAGGACTTTGAGATGCACTGACGGGAAAACTTTAAAAAGGAAACTTTAAAAAATTATTACATGCATTTTCTTACAGAGTTCAGAGTTTAAGGCTTACGTTGTAATCCTGTGTTTATTTGTATGGGAATAAGTGTCATTGGATACCGTAGCTGCTCTGAGATACTGCTCTGAGATAACGTACATAGGGTTGCTTTGTTAGCACACAAATTGACTGAGGCTCAATAAGTGAGCACATAATTTGGCTGCAATCCTATATCCACTTTAGGATTAAGACACATTGAATTCAGTTGAATTGAATTCTGAAGAGAGAGGTATAGGACTGCTTTTCTGAAAACAGTGCAGTTCTAAGGATGGCTGTTCGGAAATATGTCCTACCAAGCTTGCTCCAAAATACATACAGAGAAGGTTATGGTCTTAGTGCAATAGTTGAATGCTTGAGGCATAAAGTAAATTAAATACAAGTACAGCAACTCAAATGAACTGTGGATCATAGTCCAAGTAAGAAACAACACTGTGGTGTATTTGCTCTGGCTGATTACAAGTAAATATTGTGTTGCAAATAAGACTTCTTTAAAAAAAAAGAAGAAGAAGAAGGTGGTACAGTAAGCATTTAAAGACTTTAGCATCTCCCCGTTCTTGAGAGGCTGCTTCTGACTCTTCTTGCAATAACTGCACACAGTTGTAAAATCTTTAACAGTTGAAATTCTTAAGCCTACACTTCCCTTTGTTTAGGGAGGCAGTGCAATAAAACTCCTATAGCTTCTCTTTGGACATGTCTAACTAGACAGCTCCTATAGAAAAATGAAGGACGATTTGACAACTGGATGTAACATTAGCAAAAGAGCTTCTTCTCTCCAGCTTGACAACAATGATGAACAATTGTCACCTGCCCAAAAGAACAACCTGCATCCTACTAAGGACAGAAATAATATGCTGCTGATTGTGGTATAGGAGACACTTTTAAGTAACCAGTGCTGTGTAAGTTTTAGCTTATTCTCTGAAAGAGTATCCTATAAAGATCACTCTGTTGCTCTCTTTCTTTTAGACTATACTCCAGACAAACTTAATTACTAGGCTAGTTACATGACATGCATGTTTATACTTTCTGCCTATCCTTCTGTACTTTTCTCTTTAAAGTTTCCTGAAGTACAAAAGCTGGTGACATTAACCCAGGAAGGCCAAGAAGTTTGCTATCTTAAATCAATGATTTTCCCCTCCTTCAAACTTTACTGACAAATAAATTATGATTTTCTCCTAATTTACTTCTTTCTGGAGTACCTAGAGCCTTGGGGAAGTGTGGAAAAGGCTGTGGCACTGAGAACTGTGACTTTGACAGCAGTCACATACCAGGACATTAGCCAGTCAAGACTCTATGTTTCAAGCAACCATAAGTACACACCTGCAAAAGACTGCATTTTAAAATTGCACACATTTCTGCAACCCCCCAAAAAGGGGTTACAAGTCTGTGAGAGTCACTCCAAAGTGCCACTTGGGGGGGGGGAGGTTCCATTGTACTTGGCACTATGGGAAGGATGAGTTCTTCTAGACTTCTGCTAATTGTTGGATGCGTGCTTGATTTCTCTTGATGACTTGATCTATTGCTGTCTGTGTTACATGATACCATACTCAAGCTGCATCTAGGGGCTCTTTCATAGCGTCCATTTTAACTGAATTATTGAGATATTTCATGGCAGAATATGAATAAAGATTATCTAAATGTTGCCCATTGTCCCAAATAATTTCTACATGAAGATCAAACAGCTTCTGTTAATACATGTGAGTGCAACTAATGATAATTTTATTCCCTTCTTGCTTCATCCCCTTCAACTTGCTTCTATCCAGGTATAGAGGATGTAACCATTATGATCTTTTAGCTGGTTATTGGAACCATAGTACATGGAAGGCATCTACCTTTTTCATTTTTTGTGATGAAATAATTTCAGGGCTTGCCTTAGAACCAGTCCAATAAACTAGTGCTGAGAAACGTAGAGCAGTTGCTAAGGTCAGCAATGTACTACTGAAAGTTCATCTTTTGCAGGCACTGTATTGGCCAAGCTGAAGCATCTTTTCAGCAGCAAATAACACACTGGATTGCACTTGGTTTTTCACCACCAGGATTGACTTCTGGCCAGAATTCTGAAAAACCAGACAGGACAGTCAGTTCTCATATATTGACATGAGGTAGCATGCTTCTAGGTCAACAGAATTGTTTCTTGTTCATTCCAGAGTATGGGACATGGAATAACAGACTTAAAAGAAACCAGATTTAGATAAGAATTTTCTCACTGTCGGACC